TCCCTGTGAGCAGCCCACCGTTTGTCGTGCTCCTGTTCCCCACCCCCAACTGGCCAGGTCCCTGTTCCTGCCCTCGTCATGATGGCTTTGCTGTCATTGTACCCAGGCGCCGTTGGGGAGGCGCGGCCGCCGAGCACATGTGCGGCCATGCTTTGCCCACCGTGGGGCTGAGGCTCCCTGGGCGCCATACTGTCCCCACAGCCAGGTGGGGTGCCCGCGGCACAGATGGCAGCCAGGGTGCAGCGTCGTCCGGCTCTGGTGCTCGGTGGACCGTGTTGCATGTCCTCGACACGTGACCCAGTCTTTCTGGATCTGTTTCCCTGTCTGTAGGAGGAGGGTGGTGGGGCAGCACCAAGTGAGGACAGGGGCATGTTCGTGTCAGACTGCAGGTGACTCCCAGGCTTTGCTCCACGAGCCTGCGGCCTGGCAGGAAGGGACCCATCTCCAACTCCAAAACTGCCGTGACCTCGGCTTATGTCTGAGAGACGGCCTGGGAGGTGGGGGCCATTAGTCTTAGGCATGTTTGAACATAGAGAGGTGGGAACCCCAACTCCGAGCTGGAGCTGAGGGAGAGCCCCTCTACTCATCCCCCACCCCACCCAGGCAGGAAACGCTGTCCTGAGAGTGTGCTATTTAAGGGGCCTCTGGGGACATCTGGCCAGAAAGGAACCATTTGAAGGAGGGTTTAAAATTAGCCCGGGTGCAATGGGCCGCCCCTGGGGAGAACTGAGGCAGAGGTTTCTATGGGGCGGCTCAGGCTCTGGGTCTGACCCAGACCTTGTCCTGCCATCCCATGGAAGAGGGAGAGTGGGAGTGGTTCTGGCCCAGCTGCTGTGACTCGGGCCCTGGGGGCTGCTGCCAGATGCTGGAACCATGTTGGGAGGCCCTGGGTTCAGTTCCTGGGTCAGCCCGAACATGCTGGCTGCTGAGAAGCTGGAGAGGGGTTGCAGCAGGACCGACCCTGTAGGGGGTTCCCCACTCTTCTCCCTCAGTATAGACAAAGGAAGGGAGGGGGGAGGACGGAGGACGGGCAGGGAACAGTGCAGCCTGCTCGCAGGGCCCTGGGAGTGGGGCGGGGCTCACCCTGAGCCAACCTGAGCAGGGCTGGGTGCCTGCCAGGGCCCCGTGTACTTTCCTGGTGCCCTGAAGCAGGTGTCAACTCCGGCAGTGGGGTGTGCAGGAGGGAAATCTGAGTTTGAGGCCCAGTGGCTGTCTCCAAAGAAACTGTGTGACTTGTACAAGTCACTTTTGTCTGGAGATTTACATGGAAGAGTCAAGCCCTGAGGTCAGAGGGCAGAGGGGCCTGTGGGGGCTTGGGTTTGGAGGTTAGTGCCCTCCACTGTCCAGGAGCTGCTGCGAACAGGGCAGACCTTGAGCTGTGTCTGCGGAGAGTGGAGCTTCCAAGACCGAGACAGAGAGGCCTGCACCTCCGCCCGGGAGCAGCGGCTGGGGAGATGGCGTGTCCTCCGCGGCCAGAGTTCTGCTGGGCATGTTTGTCCTGACCCTGGGTGCGTGGCACTCTTGTGTGGGTGAGGGTGTGACACGGGCTACTAGCTGCTATCAGGGTGGTCTCCTCTGACGTCTGGCTCTGTTGAGATCTCTGTGTTGGGAGTGACTTGGCGAGGTTCTGCTCTGGGTTTCAGCAGGCTGGCACCGAGTGCAGAGCAAGGTGGTTGTGGCCTCTGAAGGAGGGAAGTGGCCACTGTGGGGCCGCTAACTGCTCAGGAGTGGCCACGGGGCCAACGCTGTAGCGCTGAGCTGGATACCACTCTGCCAACCAGGTTCAGATCCTGGCCCTGGCAGCCTGGGGAGACAGACCGGGAGTGTGGCCTGACCATGCCTCTCCAGCAAGAGCACAGCCCCCTGGCAATTTCAAAAGAAGAAAAAAAGAGGGCAGGTAGTATAGTGGTTATGGCACTGGATCCCCACATGACCGACCACGGTTCGAGTCCTGGACCCAACAGCTTGAAACTCAGCCCAGGCATGTGTGTGTGCAAAGCCAAAATCCGAAGAGGAGAATGAAGAAGGGATTGTGGTGTGACCATCCACCCTGGGGGGTGATTTCTCTCTCTCTTTCCAACTAGTGCACATGTCCTATAGCAAAAACCTCTCCCCCCTCAAAAAAATAAGAAAGAAAGAAAACTAGGACCAGCAGGAGGCATGGTGGTTAAAGCCCTGGATCCCACATGACTAACTGCGGTTCTTGTCCCAGACCCAACAACTTAAAAACGCGTGCCAGGCACGTGTGCGTGCGTGTCCCAGATCCCAAGAGGAGAGCAGAAGAGAAGGGATTGCGGCGTGGCCATCTCCCCTGGGAGGTGATTTCTCGTTTCTTCTCTCTCTCTCTCTCTCTCTCTGCCTGTCTCTTTCTGGTAAATACGAGCCCTATAGCAAAAACTAAAACAAAGGGCCAGCAGGTGGCGTGGTGGTTAAGGCGCTGGACTCCCATATAGCTGACTGCGGTTCAAGTCTTGGACTTGATGGTTTTCTTGTTTTTTCTGGAGAGGTTTTTGCTACAGGGCACATGCGCTTAGAAAGACAGAGAGAGACAGAGAGACAGAAAGAGAGAAATCACCCCCTAGTGGGGATAGCCATGCTGCAATCCCTTCTCCTTCATTATCCTCTTGGGATCTTGGGCACGCATGCACACACACGCACCCACCGTCAGTTTAAGCCACCGGGTCCAGGACTTGAACCACGGTCAACTACATGGGAGTCCAGTGACATAGCCATTACACTAACTGCTGGTCCCTGGACTTGATGGCTTTCTTCCCCTCTCTCTCTCTCTTTTTCTCTCTCTCTGGTAAGCATGCATGCCCTGTAGGAAATTGATGATAATAATAATAATAACAACAATTAATAAAAATTAAATAAAAATTTTATCAATAACTATTATTACTATTTTAAAATAATTATTTAATTTTATTTATTCATCCATTTATTTTAATTTGACCAGAAAGAGTCTAAAAGGGAGAGACAGAGAGAAAGGAAGAAAGCAAGCCACCAGGTCTGGGACTTGAACCATGGTCGGCCATGTGGGAGTGTCCAGCCCCTTAACCACCACACCACCTGCTGGCCCCCCATGATTGTTATTACTTTTTAATTTGACCTGAATGAGAGAGAAGGAAAGTGAGAAAGCAAGCCGCCAGGACTGGTACTCAAACTGTAGCTGACTGTGTAAGAGTCCAGTGCCTTAACCAGCGTGCCACCTGCTGACCCCCCCCCATAGTTCTTTAGAAGAAAGGTGGCTGTGTGCTGGGTGAAATGTGAACCTGTCCTCATCTGCAGTGACAGGTTGTGAAGACCTGCGCTTGGCTCCGCAGTACGAGAAGTGGCACCATGTGAGGTGGTGCCACTTGTCCTCGTCCTTGGGGAGCACGGTTTTATGTGTTTTAATGTGTGAGCTGTGGAGCTCTCCCCTCTCATCACTGGGGTCTGCTCCTTTCACACCGGGTGCCCGCAGCTTTTTAGTAGCTGCAGTAATCCGGGAAGTGGTTCTGGCCCACCCTCTCGGGGCCCTCACCTGCTGTGCAGGTCGGGTGTGACTGCAGCCACATGCCGGACACCTGGTGTTCACAGCTTATAGCTGTGTTGAGGGCAAGGCTCGTGACTTACAGCGTCGCCTGGCTCACGGGAAACAGGCAGGATCCTATTCATTCTTCCAAACCCAGACTCGGAGCTCAGAAGAGCTAAGCGAGTGTTGGAAGGCAGCATGTGAGGCAGCACGGACTGGATTCCCAGTTCAGTGAGCGTTCAGAACCGGCCCTTGCTAGGAACTGGGCCTCGAAGCAAGATCATAACTAGGCCCCGTCACTGAAGAGCCAGCATCAGTGTGAGGAGCAGCAGGAAACGGACAAGGAATTCTGGCTCTCTGTCGAAATCGCTGCAGGACAGTGTGGCATGGAATTTCTCTTCCACGTGCACTTGGCCCTTCACACCCACAGGTTCTGCACCTGCAGCTTCTACCAGCTGTCCCAGGGAAAGTGGGCTGCATTTATACTGAACATGTGTGGGCTTTTTAAAAAAAATTAAATAATTGTTTTATTTAACTTTATTATTTTGACCAGAGAGGGACAGAGTCCTAAGAGAGAGAGAAAGAGCGGGAAAGTGAGAAAGCAAGACACCAGGTCCAGGACTCAAACCATGGTTGGCCATGTGGGAGTCCAGTGCCTCAACCACCGTGCCGCCTGCCAGCCCCTTATTTTAGGTTTTTGCCATAGGGCGCATGCGCTTGCTGGAGAGAGACAGAGAGGGGAGGTGAGAAACTATCCTCTGTGGTGGCCACACCACAATCCTTTCTCCTCCATTACCCTCCTGGAATTTTGAGCATGCACACATACATACCCGGCATGATTCTCAAGCCATAGGGTCCAAGGCACAGACCACGACTGGCCAGGTGGGAGTCCAGCATCCTAACCACCATGTCCCCTGCTGGCCCTGGGTTAAAGTGTACGGGGAGCTCAGCGTCAGCTGTGTGCGGTACTGCACCTGCTGTGCAGGGGGCTTGAGCATCAAGGATTTGGGGATTGAAGGTTCGTCTTTGCTTCTAGAGGCAGAGCCCCTCCACCGGGAGTCCATGGGTCTCTTCTGGAAATACACGTTCATTTTGCACGTGCATTTTTTTGGGTTAAGACATCGTGTCTTTCTTCCAAATCTCAGGCATCTCTGATCTAAGAAAGGACTTGATTGGTGCTGGCTAAGCCTGACTTTCTCCTTGCCTGTTTGCCAGCTGTCTGCAAAGAAGCAAGCAGGTTCTCGCAGAATGCAGAACGGCCCCTCCAGGATGAGCCCAGAGAAGGGGAGGGGTACAGAAAAGGCTTTGATGAAAGCTCAGTGCTGGGAAGTGGGGTGTCAAAGTGCCTCTGTGTCTAAAGGAGGCCCTGGAAGTACTGGGTTCCTCCGTAAGCTCTGGAGGGTTCCAGTTCCCGACGTAAAGGAAGAGCCCTCGCCCCACCGTTCCTACCCAGCCTGGCCCTGAGCACTGTGGTCTCTGTCCCCAGGTCCGGACTCTGTTTGTCAGCGGCCTCCCTGTGGACATCAAACCCCGAGAACTCTACCTACTCTTCCGGCCATTCAAGGTGAGTGAGGCCCAGACGTCCACAGGGCAGAACCTTGGACTCGGGGCAGCAGCAGGAGTGAGTCTGTGCTATGGGTGGGCGGCAGGAAGGTGCAGGGCCATGTGGCAGGCGATTGCAGACCCACCTCTGCCCTCGTCCCTGCAAATGTACATGCTGCCCTCTGCCCCCTGCTCAGCTCTTCGGAGCCTCTGTTCCCATGTCTGTAAGGCGGAGACGATAAAGAATCAGAATAGGCTATGCCGTGTGAGGAACCTTTGAGCGTCAGTGTAGCATTTTCAGTCTGTGGGGTCTGTGCTCCCAGATTCCGAGTTAGTGGAGCACGCGGGGTTTTACGCATGAGATGCTGAACCCTGCCGCCTGCCCCGTGCTGCCATGTGACTCGGGGCATGAGGCGGCGGGACTTGGCCTGGGGGTCGGAGTGGGTTGCCTCTAGGGGGAGGGTGGTCCAGGGAAGGAGGGGGCTGTGGGGGAAGCCGGGCTGGGTGGGCACGAAAGCTCTGGCCTTCCCACTAATGGCCACCTCTCTCCGCAGGGGTACGAAGGCTCCCTGATCAAGCTCACCTCTAGACAGGTAATCCTTCTGCCGGGTGTCTCTTTCCCAGCTCAGACTGCTGTTCGGTTTGGAACCGAAGTCCACTGCCTTTCCCTGGTCTGGAGGCTGGTGGCAGCCGAGCCCCTCTCTCACCAGCT